TTATCAGATGTGGGTTGTGCCTTTTATCTACCAGCATCCTCTCTCTGATAGCAACAGCTTCTTTTCTTTGCAGTGGGGCAAAAGCAGCTAGCCAGAGAAGTAGAAGTTTCAGTTGGTTTTGAATATGTTCAAGAGCTCAGTATGATGGATTAATGTAAGAATTTACCTTTGTGTGTACGTTTTTGCTCTCTAGCAGGTGACTTACAGTGTACCAGGAATGTCAGCAAGTATTGTAAGAATTGCTGCTCTCTGCTCTCATTCCACATCTTGGCAAGGTTTAATCCTGCTTTCTAACTTGAAGCCTGTGGAACATATTCTTTAAGGCCAACTTAGGAAGCCCCTTTTCTTCAGTGAACTGAGATTTTTAAAATAGAGGATGTGGTATTGGTCTGTTTTTCACACTAGTTTGAGGACACACCTTTGGCTCTATGCATGTATTTGTGTCCACGCAACAGGAGGACATCAATTGGTTTTAGAGTCAAATCAGCAATCCAGAAATAAAAGCCTTATATCCTAGCAGTTAGTATCATGGCCATTTCTTTACACTGTCCCATCCCTCCCAGATAAAATAAAACTGGTTTTGCAGAAAGCAGACTTGAGTCTCACACGGCAACTTTTTTTTCCTAGAGCGCTGAAGACAGCTTCGTAGACCACAGACATCTGATGGTAGGTAGCCCTTTAAGCCAGCAGGCTGGCAGGCAGCAGCTGAAACTAGCTAATTGCAGATCAGATATGGGAAACAGATAACAAGAGTGACTAACCAGCCAGCTGAACAGCAGCTGTAGTGGATCCTCCAGTGCTGAGAGCTGAGATTTCTAAATCTAAAGCAGCTTATCTTCCTAGGAGGACTGCAGTAGTGCTGCTTTAAGTCTTTGAAAGGTTGCAGGAATACCATGGCTTGTAATATGTGATCCTCCTCACTGGCTACACACAATGGTTATTTTCAGTCTTTGATTATGGAAGTCCTGCATGCGCTTTGCTAACAAGAACTGTCCCTCATCATAGACGGTATCTTCCTGCTGCATATTATATGCTCAGCTTTAAAATAAGCATGGTTCTGACTTCTGCTAAAAAACCTCGTGCAGAAATTCTGCAAAACTCATGCTGCTTATTAAGGCACAATGCACAGAGAAAACAAAACTGTCCTAGTGTAACAGATCTCATTCCTTAAACCTGAGGCAGAGTCTACAGATCCTGCTAGCTCGGTGCATGAAATTCTGAGCTCAGGGATAACCAGACTTTTGTTGCTGATGGTAGCAGGTAGTGCAGCTGCACTGGCCGTCTTGGAGAGATTGGAGGAAATGTATTGCATAGGGTTGCCAAAGCAAGTGCATCCTCGTGAAGATTTAACTGTAGTTTGATATATCACTTTGTAAGGAAATCCCTGAAGAGCAAAAAACCAATTGCACTGTTAAAAGCCTTGTATTATAAACCAGAAGGAGTGAGAGGACTGTACCCGCAGAGGTTAATCTTCAGCACAGGAATTTAAATGAACTCATTAAAATCAACTTACAAATTAGCTCATTAAAATGCAACACTGCAGATCCAGAAGTTGGTTGATCTGGCATGCCACTTCTGTGAAGAAGTGACTTGAGAAACAGAGAACAAATTGATAGTATTAAAACTCCCTTTTTCTTTCCAGTTCCATAGACCCCCATCTGGAACTCCCTCTTCTTGGAACTCTGTATCAACAGCACTTTTTGTTTAGCAAATTAAGCTTGTTTGATCCTGTGCTACAAGTGCTGTATAATATCACTAGCTTCTTGTAAAGAAATGTACATCTGTACACACCAGTGCTCTCCCACATGCATAGGAGGAGCTCCATAACTGAGGCCCTGGCCCCATGGGTGGCAGCAATGATCATTTTCACTTATTACCTTGATAACGAGACTCTACCAGCTGTTGGCTGTAGTGGATTTTATTTTAGTGGTTAAATTGTAGATAATCACATTACTGCTGCCATTAAAGTATATTGTATAGGGGGAGGAGGCAAAAAAGACTCAAACAAGTTCTGATATAGAGACTTATTCAGAATATCTTTTATATAACTACAGATACCAGTGATCAAAACTGGCCTTACAGATTTTCAGGTGGTTCTTACATATCCAAGAGGCACATAGTAGGCAATACAGAAAATAAAAAAATAAAGAATTTACATTCCAGCTATATATTCTGCAATAATATATATATATGTGTGTGTACATATATACAGAGAGAAACTCCAAGTACAAAACCAGTTAGTTGGTATATTCTAAGCTAACCTCTATCCACATCAAAAAATGTGTATGGAAAAGACAACTGAAAAATTCCTGAAACTACTTTTCAGCATTGCAGAACCAGAAATTACTTAAACTGTTGTGTCAGAGGTTTTAAGGACCAGATGCCTACAGAGGGCACAATTTGAAATACTGTTCTGCATTTATGGAATTGGTTTCAGCCTTCAAAAGGGATGGTGACTGATTGGACAGTGTGTTGGCACAGGCGCTACCTGGAGGCGCTTGACCAGCCTTTTTTTGGCTGCTGGGGAACTGCAGTAGCTGTGGGGGTTTTGAGCTGGCTCGTCTGTTCATCTGGGCTTGTGTCCATCGGAAAAGTACCACACGGCCTCGCTTAACGGAGCCAGCTCCTCAGGTAGGTCTGGGTGCCTGCCTCTGCTTCTGGTCACGAAAACAGTCCCTTTGCCTTCCATGGGAAAGGACATGTGGGTGTGAAAGTCATGTCAACAAAGCAAGGGTGCAAACCTTACTCCTGCTGGGCAGAAAGGTGAGTCTTTAACCTTGCAGCAACTCGCAATAAAACCACACCTTTCCCTGCCTCCCAATTTTTTTAAATTTTTTTTTTTTCTTTTAATTGGGCAGTAGTCTTGCCTAACCCGAAGATGTGAAAAGAAGCTTGGGTGGGAAGAAGAGGCATTGGAACACACTACTGTAGCCAGAAAATGTGTAACCTGGTGCTGCTTGTCTGTTGATTTTGCTTGATGATGAAATGGAAGAGAAGACTAAAAGAACAAGCTAGCGGAATCCAGTTTTTCCTTAAGGATGGGTTAAACTGGAGTGGGTGGAATTATACTCAGGTGAAACTATCTCAGATCCATGTGGAAACTTAACCTACATTCAGCCACAAATAAACAGTGCTGGGTAATCAATGTGCTCGGTGAGTGATTTGATCAGGGGCTGATCTGGGCTAGGTTGTGGAGGTGGATGGGGAAACCTGGATAACCGCAGCTTTCTGAAAAGAACAGTGGGAAAGGATGGTACCTTTCCCAGAAAACCCCAAAACACTCCAAAAATCCGGTGGTTATGAAATCTAGGCATTTCCATCATGCAGATTTCTTTCTATTCAGTGAAAAGAAGTGGCGTTTGGAGACTATACTTAGGCAAGAACTGAAATTTCTCGATATCATCACTGGCACCATGAGTAAAATTTGGAGAGTATTACTTATCATAGTTATTTGAATAGAGAATTCTGAGATTCTCTGTCTGTGTATAAATCATCCAGGTCACACAAACAGTGTTAGCTTGTAGAAAGTCTCAGGCACTTCAAAGGTGATCATTTCCCCCTCATTTATATTAAATGGTCTAGTGACAAGTACCTTCTTGTCTCACAAACTGCACCTCATTTGATGCTGACAGCTGTTGTTTTTCAAAGCAATAGTGAACACTGACTGGTGTCTTTTACTTAACTGTAGGAAAATGAGGCTATTCTAGTCATGTCCTTGTATCTGACCTTACTGAGGTAGTCTTCTTGTGTCATCTAGATTGCTTTTAAATGAGCTTCTGTGAATGGCTGTCCATTCTCTGTTTGGTGATTTGGATGTTCCAAAGTCTATAAAGAATTATTCTGATGAAGAGCAAGAGCTTGAAGGGATAGAAAGTGACAAGTAGAAAATGAAATTAGGACAGAAACCTTCATTGCCCTGCACCTTGTCCAAAGTGGGTGTGAAGTCAGAAGAGCATTTGATACCTGCTTTGTGATCTAGCAACTGACTTTTTAAAGTGCAAGGCAACAAAGAACTGTGCCCAGAATCTCCAACTGCTGTATTTTCATGTCGTGGTCAAGACTTGCTGGTCCCTTTGCAAGACCGTTGTTATTGCTAGTGAAATCAATGGGTTTAGAGTTTCTGTTTTGTCTGTGTGAGTGCGCATGTTCAGGTGACAGTGATTTCTAAAAGCTTCATCATATTCCTTGATGTAAGGCCAGCTGGAAGGCCTTGGTTTTCTCTATGTAATTTTGTAAAAGCAGCGGGTCATTCAAAAAATTTTCTTCACTCTCTTTCCATCAATTACTGCTTGAAACTTCAGCTTAGCGAGACAGAGAACGTGCCGCAGCAGCAGGTGTCATCTCGGAGCCAGCAGTGCAGACCAGATGGGTGCTGTTAAGGACATCTCTCTCCTCAAATGCTTCTATACTGCTGGAAAAGGTGCTTTATTTCTATAGCTTACAGGACCAGAAGTGCTGTCTGTAGTTGAGAGAACAGGGATACCTGGACTTGCTGTCAGGTTTGGATGCTTTAAGTAAAATCTGCAGATGCTACGTAATATAGATATTGCTGTTCTCACTTGTCCATAGAGTTCACTGAGGAGACCAAAACCAGAGGCAATTCATCTTGCTAACCTCACTGCCCTGATTGATCCAGACACTCAAAAGGCAGGATATCTTTGCTGCCGCAAGTGCCAGAAAATCTGTGATATTTTGTATTATTAAAAAAAAAAAAAGATTGAAATTTAGGAGAGCAGCTAGGGAAACAACCAAGAAGTACTGGTTTGGGGGACTCCCAGCCAGCAGCTGAAGCGATTGATCTGACTAACAGAGTCCATCAGTTTCCCAGCTTTCATGGTCATTTTTAAGGCAACAATTGTCCTAGAAAATCAGCAATATAATTTAACTACTACTGTCTAAACTAGTTTCATGGTCATCCATTTTCTAAAGTCACCAAATTTTATTATTTACCTACAATGCAATTATACTGAAACATACATATATTTAAGAAAAAAGAAACACCTTTATAGAAATGTTGATAGTGCTTTGGAATCGTTTGTCACAGCCAGGGCTCTGTTAGACGTTGCTAGAGGTCTCTCCGCTTGAATATTCCCCCGTTGCGCTGGGCAGAACAAACTTCACATATCTCCCCTTCTCCCAGCCCCTCCTGATTCGCAGAAGTCTTTGTCGGATACAGGGCAAACTGAAAATGACTTTTGCTAGGATCACAGTACATGGGACGAGCAGCGTGAGGGTGTAGGTTGGAGGCAGGTAGAATTTGTACTGGTTCTCATCGAAGGCCCTCGACCATCCGTAGGTGAGCGTGTGCAGAGTGCTGATTACCAAAGCGATAAATCCGAGGGTGGACTAAAAGGAAGAGAAACACACACCAGTTAGTGGAGGACCTTGTGCCTGGCTATTTTCCTAGGGTTTTTTTTACACTATTTTGTAAGTGCACATAGCACAGAGAAAGCAATGAGTATTCCTGCATTTCTTGGACAGAATAAAACACAACTGGAAACCTTTCATGGGTATTCTGCCAGATTGCATTTCCCTTTTTCTAATCAGAGGTTAAGTGTGATATTAGAATCTCAGCAGGAGTTTCGCTGAAGATGCTGCCAAGTCGGCAGAGAGGTGGGCTCATGCCTCAGTGCGAAGCAGCAGCCCCCAGCCCCTGCCCAGCACGTACCTGCGGGCAGCTCACCCGGGCTCCTCCCGAGCCGCAGCTGCCAGCTCCAGCAGCCGGCCGGTCTGTGGCTGCTGCCCGGTGGCAGCATCGTGGCTCTGAACCAGCACTTGGCACCATCAGAAGTTGGTGAAACTGTAGCTTCACCCAGAGGAAAGAGGCTTTTGGGTAAGTGCCCTCATCTACAGGAAAATGAGGCTGCAGAGACAGAAGTGCTCTGTTCTGAGGTGAGCAACAGCCCCAGAGGGTTTCCATCTCTGTCCCAGAGATCTGTGTTGGTTCATGAGCCAGATCATCGGGCTGTGTGTTGGACTGAGTTAAGAGCCCTTTATCTGCTCAGGGAGGCAGCAAGGCCCCAGCCCGTGTTCCGCAGACAAGAACTTCCCCCATTTTTATCTGAGGTTGTAGCTCCCCAAGCACCTAGAGACAGCATTTTGCCTGAATATTTTCACCCCTCTCCGAGGGTTGCTCTCAAGAGGGGTTTTAAACTGTGTTCCCCTCCCTGGTGGTTTCCTGCCAGCATCAGAGGTGGTGGCTCCCGAGCGTGCCAGCTCCCTCTGCCCGCTGGCACTCGGCAGGAGCCGGCGCTTGCTCCCGGAGGCATTTCAGTTACAAGCCTTTGCTGCTGGATTTTCAAAGAAAAGCGTGGTGCCACATATTGCTGTGCTATGAATGCTTGGTCTAAGCCTGCAATAACAACCAAATTTCAAGATGCCTAGAGAAGGAAAATTTTGCTGCTGATGTCCCTAACTTAGGGAAGGAAGTTGTTATGAGTCAAAAGATCTGGCTTGGTGCAGCCAGTCAGAAATCAGCAAGAAACATGGTCCTCCAGAAAGTATGACCAGGAAAGAGGACACAGCAGGGAAATAAGAGACCAGGACAAGGCAGGAGGAAGGTATTCTCATTTTTCTCTTGAAAAAAATAATTTCAGCTGGAAAACTACTCAATTCAAAGCATCCCTTCCTATTTCCTGGTGAACTACTTAAAAACCCAGACAACTTTTTCAACTGTACCATGTTGTTGCCAACAAACTAGACCAAGACTCCTCTATAAACCTTCAGAGCTAATCATTTAGGCAGCTTATAGGACTGGGCAGGGCAAGGAAGGAGAGCTCTGAAACTTCCAACCAGATCCCAGGTACTTCACTTTACAGCACCTATCATGCAGTCATGTGGGTGTCACTGAGATTTCACCCATCGGTAGGGAACTCTTTCTCTGTGATTACTCAAGGTCGTGCCAGGAGTCAGGAGCAGCCTTGTGAGCTGAACCTTGGTCCTGCATGCATCCCCACACCTGTCCTTTCTGCCAAAGGGACAGCCATCCTTACTAGAAGTCACATCTAACTCCTAAATCGAAGTGCTAACAAGCGGCAAACCCAAACAGGGTCAAGATTGGTTTCACTTGGAAAATTCAGGAGGAGTTTGCTGCAATATGCCATGATTGGAGCTGAACCGAACAGCAGGACCTGACCAATAGCTCATACATCATTTATTGACTGTGAGCTTCTCTCCAACAGGCAAAAAAAATCCCTGGGTGGCAGAAGGTTGGAAGTACCAGCTTCAGACTCATCTGACAGAGTGGAGATGTAAAGCAGGGCAGGGGGAAGGGGGACGAAGTGAAGTCCAAGGGCAGCAGACGCGCTCTGCCCTGGGCAGAGGGTGCTTTCTTAGCAGGGCTCTATGCATGCAGAGAGCTAGAGCTAATTAGTTTGTTCTTCCACAGTTTCTCTTTCAACTGCTGCTGGTACTGAGGGAGAGCAGGACTGGAAATTAGTAGGACAAAAGGTGATAAACCATCACAGGTGCTCAGCGACCCACCTTTGTGTGCAGATGACCATGAGTCTGAAACAAAAAAGCTAACGGGCAGAAAACTCATGGATAAGCTGCTAGCGGCTGGAAGCAGCGCTGGCAGCTCCTCAGACAGCAGCAATGGGGCGATCCACTCGTAACACAAATGTGGGGCTCTCTGGTGAGAGCAGGGGGTCTCGGGTAGCAGGGCTGTCCCAGTGCTGATGCTGGCTGAAGGACCTGTGGTCAGCAGGGCCCCACCGCCAGAACAGCTGTCAGGTTGGTCTGACCAAATGTTTTGCTAATCGCAGCTTGGCTCAGTATATACAGCTCAATATACACTCAGTATAGTACAACGCAGAGCCCGCTGAGCGCCCCATGGGGGGTGATTTGCCAACGTGCTTAGCCTTGATACCACACACTTTGAAGCTCTGCTTTCGTTTTTCTTCTCAATGCAGTTTCTGGCTATGAAACTTTTCTGTGGCAGGGGTTTCTTTTGCAGTGTCACAGCATGGGGAATGAAGGGCTGCCACCCACGTTAGGTGTTGAAGCCCTCTGAAAGAGGCTATACAAAGACTGTATTTTCTCAGTGCAGGCTTTGCATATATTTTCTATTCTGTGTTAACTGTTATATCTTCCCCCATCTCGCTGGCGCTTCTGAGACTCCCTGTAATGCATCAGCAAAGGTGATTCAACTGCATGGGGCTCATTTAGAAACGTCTGGGCAGTGTCCAAAGCAAACAGCCCCTTCCTGACCCAAATACGTTTCTGACTTCTGCTGCAGTCAGTCCTATGAAGTCATTAGCTCCTTGGAAGTATCTCTGTCTCGCATTTTGTCAACAGGAGGGTTAGAAAAGGTCTGATGACAGATTATTTATATCTTACGATACATGAGCTAAGAAAGAAACCAGGTCAATTCAACCTTCACATTCCAGGAGGAGTTCTCGGGATGGGAAGGTAAAGGCAATCATACACATTTTTACTTCTCAGCCAATTAGACTTGATTTGTAAATCACTCAGGAACATTAAAAATGTCTCCTGTAAGTTGAATTACACAGGAATCACTCCTGTTATTCAGTGTCCAAATCCTGTGCATTTTGTTAATCAAAACTGGACAAAGAGGGGAACTATGTATCCAATTTAACTATATTCAACTGACATTTGTATATGTGCAGGAGTTACTATAAAAAACTACCTTGTCTTTTTTTCTAAAACCTTAGCAACAATCCAAATGGGATTTTCAGCCCATTGGGCAACAGATGTGTATTTTAAGAGAGTGGCAGTATCCCATGGCACTAATACAGGCACACACACTCCTGCTGGAAAATGTCTGACTTGGGAAGCTCGGGTTAAAGAAGGGACTAAAGTGGCTCCTGACTTTGCAACAAGCCCCTCTCTCATGTGGCTTTTGGTATGGTGCCTCTCAAACATACTAGCTAGTTCAACTCATATGGCAATGAATTGCTGCATTTTCTGAGAGACACCTGCCTGGGGTGGCTGTGCTCCACATTTTCCTTCTCTTCCACTTTTCCCAGGCCTGGGAAGCCACGATGCCTCTGATGCACTGTAAAAGTGTCAAGTGCTAGACATGCCAAATATTTAAGAAAGCAGCCTCACGCTTCACCCCTGTTATTTACATTGTGCCACTGTGCATTAATCCAGGGAGGATCACACTGTGCTATGTGAATGTTAACTTCTGGTTCCTGGGAGCAGTAGCTGTACCTGCTCTTAATTTCCTCAAGAAATAATTTAAAAGAGTCCTCATTATAAAAAAACGGGGAAGGGGGAAGCTAACATGCTGAGATCTGTATCCTGCACTTCTTACATGGTATTTCCAGAGCCGGGTACACCAGCAGCCGTGCCTCTCCAGCGTGTGAGCTGCTGGGAGCTCGTGTCGCACCGTCAGGCTTTATTCCATGCGGACAGAAATAGGTGTGAGTGTCTTTCCAGGAACTAAGCCAGACGGTTCCCATGTGCGGCAGCCATGAGCTATTTTGGAGCCAACCATCACGTGTTTGTTTGCTCCTGGTGCTGACATACCCTTAGAAAGATGTGGGAAGGGGTCCCAAAGGGCAGATGTGACAGTCGGGTTACATGTGCTGGTAGATGGCAGCACTGCCTGCCCTGACAGCATATATACGTTACATGACACTACACCAGCACCCTCCAGGAGAGCTTCTGGGCAGCCAAAGGGGTTTCAAAGCTTCCTTCCAAGCTGAAAGGAGATACTTCCCATCATTTGGGATTCCTGGTATGAGATGCCTAAGTCAGGATTGGCTGATCCACTGTCCCAGTGGCTGCAGCCCTCCCCTGAGACACGGCAGTGAGAATTCACATGCTCCCATTGTCTGATCTGAAAGAACTGTTTAAAGCCAGGTCTCCCTTCTCTCTGAGGGACAACCTCTTGGGGTCAAGCTCTCCTGGTGAGGCTTTTCTACTCAGTGTAAATAATTACTTGCTAGTCCACAGCAAGAGAGGAAAAAAGACAGACTTGCTCGTTTGGTGAGTGGGGCATTTGTGGGGGAGCAGCCTTCAAACTCCTGCTCTCATGAATATTGAATTATTTATATGCCATTGAACAGTTTCAACAGGACAGGCTGGATGATAGTTATCCACCTCTGCATCCCCAAGCCCTGCCCTCCCCTTCAGAAGGGTTACTTGTGTGCCTGTGTGATGAATGGGGAGGGCCAGCAGGGGAGATGCGGGGGGTATGAGGTGCCACAGGGTCCTGCACATGTCAGGTGCCACGTGGGTCACTGCAGTGGCACTTGATGCCCGGTGCTAAGCAGCATGATGTAGGAGACACAATTAACAAGGGGATTTAGGGCTACGGGATACAACAGTGATGCAGTGAGTGGAATTTGGTGTCAAAATTAGCTCTAACACAAAGGGAATACTTGAAGGGTCACTCCCTGCCATGCCTGTTAGTTATCCCTAAGCCTGGCTCCAAGAGCGTCTCTGAGAACACTGCAACCCCTGGTTTCACCTCTGTGAATGTCCCACATGTGGACTCAGGTCATTAAGGGAATTTGGCCCTTGGGAGCTTGGACATCCCTGCAAGTGGGCAGAAGGCTCCTAAACCACTGAATGATGTTGGAGAATGAAAAATTACATTCCTAATTCACTTTTCAGAATCAGACCTAGACATTGCATTGACATTGTACCCAGTTTTCTGTGCTTCTTGGGCTCTGGCATTTGTATAGACTTGTCTAAGCCTTTTCAAACTACTGAATGTTTGGGTGCACGCAGGCTCTGCCAAATCTGACTTTCCCCTGTGCCTTGTTTTTCCCAGGTGCCTTGTTTTTCACAAGCTCACTCTCCCTGAAATGCCAGGGCAGATCTGTGTCCTGCAGCCAGCTGTCTCCATGGTGGGTTACCTGCCGGCCCTCCACAGCCTGGTGCACTCCCTGCAGTAGCTCTGACACGTTGTGCAGGGTGTAGACTCACTGTAGCATCTCCAACATGTTGTGCACGGCAGACACACGCAACAGCTCTGAGGGGAATCTTGCCCACGGGAGCAAACAACCCTGCCGTCTCAAAATGATTCCAAGGCTTTCTGCCTTTCTACCTTGTGTGACTTCAGGAGGTTTTTAGCTGTGAACGGCAGTGCTGCTCCCAAGCACCAAGCGAGGGGGGAAAGGACTCTGCAGGAGGATGTCACTCAGGCAAAGCCCTGGCTGGTTTTTTTTCAGGATCTCTAACTAACGCTGCTAAATGCGAGGTGAGAAAGAACTTCAGCCAAGGCATTAAAGACTCCCTCCTGAAAAGCTTGCTGCTAATCCTTACGTGGATGCCTGTGACACGTCACATTTTCTCTTCCCCACCCGAGACAGCAGCACCCTCCACAGAGCAGGCGAGCCCTGCGTGACAGCAGCATGGTTCCCCTGGGACCCCCAACCCCTCACTCCTGTCATCGCTGCTCAGTGTCATCTCCCAGGTCGGGGATCCTTGGCTCCAGGGTTTACGGGGATGTGTGGAGCGGCAGGGTTTGCCCCCGACACCGGTGAGCAGCTTGCAGTCACCAGAGCAGGGACATGATGGGGCGGCAGTTCAGCCTCTGCCCTCCGTGGATCGTGTGAGGGCCTGACTCTGACTGCAAAATCACTCTCTGACATTGGCAAATGACAACTTTACCTGGATGAAACTGAATTCCCTCCAGTTGAGAGAGTTTGCGATGGATGGAAGTGAAGTGATGGCAAGTAACGACAGCAAGCCCAGGGCAATTATTCCAACAGAGAGATAAATCTCCATCCTCCAGACTTCCTCCTCTACCCAGACATTCATCTTCTTCTCCACAGCCTGGCACGACAACGAAGGTTTGTTAAAATGGAGCACTTAGAAACAGAGGAACTGAATTTTATCTGTATTCATTTTGTTTTTGGAAACAGGTTTCCTGGGTGAACACCGGGTCTTATTCACACCTCCAGTGCTATTTGTCTGTTTGGGAGGTGTGGAAATGCTCTTTTATTCCACCACCATTTGGCTGGAGCTTGACCTGATTGGAAGCCTGCTGGGAAGAACTGCTGAGTGCTCCCAGCTCCCACAGCCCATAACCACAGCAGCAAGCCCCAAAGTTGCATTTGGAAAGATAATTAGAATGACAAGTCAGTTTAAAGCCATGAAAACAAATACAGATGCTTGAATATGCAGTAGTCTCCTAATAACCTTTGTTTTAAGTGTATTTAGGGGGGGAAATTGTTCACGTTAATGGAAGGGAAGATGGGTTTTATGCTGCATGGCAAAAAGGAACATTTAGAATCGTCTTCTTTAGCCCATTAGATGGGTTTAATTTACTAAACGAAGATGTTGCTAGAAAACAGGAGGTAGAGGGGAAATGAACACAGGATGCTTGCCCAAGATTAATGTGTGACTGTGGCAATCGAGAAGGACCTGCTCAGCGCTGAAGCTGAGAGGCTGGGGATGGTGTCTGATGGATGTTTTGAACAGGCACTGCTGCCAAAACCAGCCCTCCTGCTCCCCTCTGCCCCTACGGCCTCTTCCCCCCTCTCTGTTGGGACAAGCATTTGGAAACACTCGGGCAGTTATCCCAGTGCAGAAAGCAGACAGGTTGTGGGGCAATTCCTTGATCGGGTTCCCCACTCGGCTGCACAGAGCTGGTGTTATCCCAGGAGGGACTTCGGTGGAGCAGTGAGAAGCCGGGGCAGGAGAAGGGCAGAATCACATTTTCCCATGGTACTGCCAAGTTACAGAGCTGCCCAGATTGCCTAAAGGTAGCAATCTCACTCTGAATAAATACTGCTGAGAGTTGCAAGAAGGCAATAAAGTCCTTTTTCATTTCCTCATTCCCTTAGACTATGACCTAGCTCTTCACCATAATTTTGTTAAACTCTTGGAGGCACACTGTGATGAGGACACACCTACAAAACAAACTCCCCCAGGTTATGACTTGGTTATTCCAGCAGGCACCTCCTGTGAATGGGGATCTCTGAAAATCTAGGAAGGAAAATTGAGGACAACCTCCACCACTAGATTTCTTTCCTCCTAGCACTTTTTCTGCCTCTGCCCTAGTCTCAGACATGGCAGGTGCTGTGCAAAGCTGGTTTCAAAAGCTTCTCTGTGCTTCTGGGGAGCAACGATACAAGGAGTTTGATCCTGGCCCTGGTTGTAAATGCAACCTGCTGCTAAGATGGTGTTCGTCGACAGGAGCCTAAACATGAGCCAGCAGTGTGCCCAGGTGGCCAAGAAGGCCAAGAGCATCCTGGCCTGTATCAGCAATAGTGTGGCCAGCAAGACCAGGCCAGTGATTGTCCCCCTGTACTCAGCACTAGTGAGGCTGCACCTCGAATCCTGTGTTTAGTTTTGGACCCTCATGACCAGAAAGACATTGAGGTGCTGGAGTGTGTCCAAAGAAGGGCAATGAAGCTGGTGAAGGGTCTCAAGAACAAGTCTTATGAGGGGCAGCTGAGGGAACTGGGCTTGCTTAGGCTGGAGAAAAGGAGGCTGAGGAGCGATCTTATTGCTCTCTACAGCTACCTGAAAGGAGGTTGTAACTAGGTGAGGGTTGGTCCCTTTTCCGAAGTAACAGGCAACAGGATGAGAGGAAACAGCCTCAAGTTGTGCCAGGGGAAGTTTAGCTTACATATTAGGATAAAGATCTTTGCTGAAAGGGTTGTTAAGCATTGGAACAGGCTGCCCAGGGAAGCAATGAAGTCACCATCTCTTGAGGTATTTAAAAGATGTGTAGATGTGGTGCTCAGGAACATGGTTTAATGGTGGACCTGGCACTGCTAGGTTAACAGGTGGGCTTGATCTTATAGGTCTTTTTCCAACCAAAATGATTCTTTGATTCTATGATTCTAAGATCCTCAGATGCTCAGTGTGGACGGGTGCATGCCCTGTACACAGTGTGCGGTTGTCCCGTGGACAAAGCGCTCATGAAGATAACAGCTATTCCCAGGGTCCCACAGGTGCTTTGTAAAGAGAATACAAAAGCTAAGATGTTAAGCCTGCTACCCAACATCTGGATTTGCACAGAAGATTACTACAGGTGCTGACTTGAAGAGCACCCACATTACCTGCTTGACAGCCGTCTCGATTAACTGGTAGCGGTGGGAGCGGCGCATGGGCAGACAGAAGCTGTACACGGCATGCAAAGCCGCACAGAAGAAGCTGAGGAGACCGATCTGCTTTCGGTGCTGGAGCCACTGGTCGAGCCAATCTGGAAAGCGCCTGTATTTGGTGCCATAGTAGAGCTGCGAGCAGGCTGCCAGCACCCCGGGCAGGTAGACGAGGGACAGCATGACGTAGGCCACGCAAGGCAGCGTTGTGTTGACCACCTCGATGGGGATCTTGTAAAACTTACTCTTCTGCTCCCTGATGTAAGGGTGGATGACCTGCCGGATCAGGTTGTAAGTGAAGAAGCAAAGAAAGAGCCCCAGAGCCAAAAAGATGGGGATTTTCCAGGCTGGCAAGAGGCGCAGGGGAATGTTCTCGATCTCACAGGCTGATGACATGCAGCCCATGTCCACAGGGGTGAATCCCATGACCTGAGCAATTTCTGCTACGGTGCGCTTGGCTTCTTGGTTATTTGAGCAAATCAGAACCTGCAATGAACAGAAAGATGTACACAGGGCAAAGAGAGATCAGGGTGCTGGGAACGAGTGTGTCAGAGGGATGCTGTGCTAAGGGGAACCTATGTTATTCCGCTGAGCATCACGCTCCCCAGCAGGCTTTCTGACAGATTTACTATGGCTGCCCAAAACCTCTCTCCTGGACAATTTTCCTTTCCTGTGTGGGTGCCACCAGCTTGCTTTACTGGCTGTGTTTAGAGAGATAATTAAGTAATACTCCAAACACTACAAAGTGTGAAGTAAGTGAGGGCAATTCATTTCTGAGCAAAGGAAGGCAGAAGCTATGGGGTGGCCTCTGGATGCCAAGGCCAGCACTCAGACCCCTTCTCCTGGAGCCTAAGGCCATTTGCTGGTGCTGCCAGACCTCAGCTGCTGAAACAGCTGGCCTTCAGTCCTTGTCAGGGGAAAACAATACCTGCTTATTCCCATCCCTGGCACCTGACTGCAGTGTCCACGCAGCAACCACGTTAAAGCCCTTGACCACGGTGCAGGCTGGGAACAGGGAAGCCAAGTACTCGGCGTTGGATTCTCTGTGATGGTTGATCTCGGTATTGTTACTGACATCTACCAGGATCTTGCCAGCCAGCGCATCAGCCAGGTCACAGAGGGTGGAGTAATGTTCCCTGAAAACCGCCACAAAAATGACATCTGTCTTCTTCACCGCCTCAGCCTGGAAGGTGACTTCTGCTGCGGAAGGGAAGAGGCCGGCTTTTCGCTTTGGGTTGCGGCTGCCGACCACCACCTTGAACCCAGAGCATACCAGGCGGACAGCCAACGACCGTGCAAAGTCCCCACTCCCCAACACCCCGATGGTGCGCCCAGTCGCTGGCATGCTGGAGTCACCCTCCATGCTCCGATGGCCCAGGAGGGGTTTGGCCATGTCTCCTCCGGACATCCTGGCAAGAAAAACAAGGGGAAATGCAAGGTCATTGTGAAGCTCTCGTAGTGACCCAGACTGCATCTCTGGTCACGGCAGCAAAAAACACTTAGGCCACACTTGAACAGAAGTGCACCCAGTTTTGATACCAGTAGCCCAGGACCCACTAGCAAGTGTGCAGTAACGTACAAGCACCATTGGAGGGGGACAAAACACCACACTGGGTTGGAAGGTGAAGGGTTTTAGGAAGGTTTTATGGGTTTGTGTGATCCAGTACCTGCATTCATCCATCCTTTGCCATTCTTCATGCTGACATCTCACAGTACAAAGCCAGGGCGATGCTAACAACAACCAGGACCAGCAACTCTCAGATCCCCATGGAGTTACCAGGCATCTTGAAAAGCCCAGGGGTCCATGGGGATCCTTGAGCCTACATTTGGAAAAGCTGGGGAGGGGCAGGGTGTTTCTGATTTGCAGGAGCAGAAGCAAGGCAGGGAGCTTAAGCTGAAATGAAAGTGTCCTAGAAGTAGTAAACGAAGAGAGTTGCAGCCTTTGCCTGTGCCAATATTTGGGTCTGGCAAGCACTGTTTGCTTCAGCTCTTCTATGAGTAATGAGAACTTACCCGTGACATTTAAAAAATATATTAAAACGTGATGGGATTTGCTCATGAAAGATCTTGATGAGCTTTACAAACGTTAATGAATTTTGCCCCGTAACACTCTGCTCTCCGTAACAGATTAGATATTGAGGCCACGGAGCAGTTTTAAACAGATCGATAAATTCAGAAGCAGCACATCAGCCAGCCCTGGAGGTCAGAAGAAACTCAGGTAGGGAACTGTCAGGCTGCTCATGGGCTCAGATCTGCCTCCCGAGTTAAGGAATGGCAAAATTGCCCTTAGGGAAAGGCAAATTCCTTAAAGGCAGATTTTTAAAGGGCTCGGAGGTGGCCCAAGGACCTTACACACCGGAACATCTGGCTTTTGTATCAGGCACACTGGTAGAGATTTGAACAAAGGCCATAATTAACAAACTCATGATATATTTGGGACAGAAACAACTCGGGTTTTGGGAGACTACAGTCTTGTCATATAGCTAGTCAAGTTCTTTCAAAGCGAAGGTGACCACTTTGATGGGGTGACCTGGTCCCTGGCACAGGCTGTGTTTTTCATAGGCTTTTGGAAATATCCTTCACCCGAAGCTTTTCTGGGATTGGCGCAGTAGTGGTGCAAAGGGGAAGGGCACTTCTGCATGAATAGTTACCAATGGGAAACAAAGGGTGAGGAGAAATAAATAATTGCCATAATGGGAATAGGTTGTCAAGGGATTTCCCCGAGGATCTGTTTTGTTCAACATGCTCATAAGTGATCTGGGAAAGGGAGTGAATATTGAGATGGAGCTTGTGCACGATGATCATTTAGGACAGTCAATCTTTATTGCGAAGAATCTGAAGAAGGATGTCCTCGTTCAAAGTGCGCGAGCACCAAAATTCACTACTGACACATGGCAAGAGCTGCCTATAGGCATAAACCCCCTAACTATATGTACACTTTAACAAGCTGTAAATTTGTTAAAACTGCTCAGAAAAAAAATTACTTGAGGGTCACATTAGTCTGAAAGTAGCAACTCGGTGCTCCCTGGCAGGCACACATCACTGTCCTGAATTAAAACCCATAAATCATGGCTTCAGCGACAATACTGTTTCTACGGCAGATGTCTGCCTGCTCTCCTAGCCTCTCACCAAGCACCCCCTTGTCTCAGAGACCAAATATCTGTGTTCATGGAAAAAGTGTTCTAAGGAGAAAAGAAGTGCCAAAGAAAGGCATGCTGACTTCTCCCCTTTAATAACACCTTTCCTCTGTTCCCCACATATCACATAGACTTTCTTCCATGCTCTACGTGAGTAAGAGAGTCCTGTTAAACCGAGAATTATTCATACTTCACTCTGAAGGTTTCTGCCTCTCTTCCAGACCTGCCGAAGAGTTTGTGTGCTGCAAGGCTGATTTGGTGGTGCTGGTTGTGCCAGCTGGGTCAACCCAGGCTGCTGCCTGTGCACACACCCTTGCCTTCGCTCTGTGCCATGTGTACCACAGTCATGAGGATGTTTAACCCAGAAACTAGTGGGAAAGGCATACAGAACAACACAGAAAACGTGGCTATACCACTGTAAATATCCACAGATCGAACAGCACACTGAAGTTTTGCTCACTCCACTGCAAAAAAAGAGTTAACCTAGAAAAGGGCCATAAAAAAAAGAAAGAGGTGACAAGGGCTGTCAGCTTGGCAAAGACACACATGAGTGAGGAGGGAGAAGAGGCCATCTGGGATTTCTAGAGGTGAAGAGCAACCTCACATGTGGCGCTCAGGTCAGTGGGAATGAGGAAGAATTTCTTTACTGTGAGGGTGACAGAGCACTGGCACAGGCTGCCCAGAGAAGTTGTGGAGTCTCCTGCTCTGGAGATTTTCAGGACCTGTCTGGAAGCATTTCTGTGTGACCTGCCCTAGATTGTGTGGTCCTGCTCTGGCAGGTTGGACTCAGTGATCTCCCTTCCAACCCCAAACATTCTGTGATTCTGTGAATGCTGGAGAGCAACATGGGAACACGGGTCCTTTTCATCCACAACCAGTTGGGCTGAAAAACCTCTAGTGCAAAGTAAAGCTGATCTGTCTCAAAAGGTGATTTTTTTTTTTTGTCCCAGCCGCTTCTTATCAGACACTTTATCAAAAGCTCACTACTGTACTTTTTAGAAACCTTCTTGCTCCACCTAAATTTACCTGTGGCCAGAACTGTTTGTTCTAGGGCCAACACTATTGTTCAGCCTAACGAGCTTTCTTTCTACACTCTCCTCCCTCCTTTTCCACCACCTGTATGCACAAAATGTTATCCCGAAACAGAGAGACGCATCTCTGGCTCTCAGCCAAGGGGAGGGAAATCAACATTCAGGGTGACAAAGAGATTGTTACCCGCAGACTCATTTCGTACTTAATCTAAAGCATCTCAAAAGCTCTCTGCATGCTCCCACCGGGACATGAAATTTGCTGCAAGCAAATTTTCTTGTAGTGTGTTTTCTCTGTCCTGTAACTGCCACTGAACATGTAGAGAGATGTTGGCAATGTTTGCAGATAAACAGCTTTGCTGTCTCCAGTTATTTTGATTAAAAAGGATGACAGAACTAAACAGCCTTTGAAGTCAGCAGGATAGTTAAAAAGTAAGAAGCCTCAGAATCTTTTCTGTGGATTTTACTGTGATTATTTCAGTTGTGCTCTGGCTCTCGGGGCTTTGGAGCAGGACCTGTCCTGCTGCACAGCCCTCGGTGGGATGGCAGCTTGGTCCCTGCCACCAACCACTCTCTGCCAGCACAGGGCACATCACCATCACCCACAAAAATCCTCACAAGGAATGAGGAGAGAATCCCTCTTTCATCATAAACGCATTTCACAAACACAAACACCGTCATCTCTGCCTAACAGATGCCTGGAAATGGAGTGTCTGATTAGGCAACAGTTTTTTTCACTTCTCTATCTCTGCAGAGCACAAAGACCCCCTCATCTCCCATCACCCTCCCTGACTTAACTGCTTTTTCTGCACCTATGGACTATGTGTTACTTACTTAAAACTCTCCCACCCAAGGTCAACCTACCCAAAGTCAATGGCAAATACCGTGACCAGGATGCTGCGGAGTCACTCGGAGGCAAAGGAGGCCACGAGTGAACACTGTGGTGCTTGGACACATCTTTAGTGTGCTGCAGCCTCAGACAAAGCTCATTTATTGATCTTCCTGATCAAGGAAAATGCACACCTGCTGAGTTATGCCACCTGCAATTCAAGAAGATTGGTTTCTTACCAAGGAAGCTACAAGATGATTTAAAGCAGAGCCTGGTGGAAGTAAACTAGCTTCAATCCTAACTGGGAAGCAGTTCCCTAATTAAAATATCTAATACAATGTAAAGCTGCCCTTCATCTAGACTATTAATGACACCCTTATATCACTGTGTGGGAATGGTATGTCCAGCTCTAGCATGCTTGTTCCTGTGTGCCATTCACCAACTGCATGGCAATTGCTGCAGTTATTTGCAGGACAATAGCAGTGATGGGCAACGAGTAAGGTGGGGAGCTCCCCTCTGCCAGGCACCCCACCAAAACCGGCCAAAAGGTCACTCCTGCCCCCAAGAATGGGATCAGACAGGCAAAAGCTGGGTGAAACGAAGCAGTCAAATCTCTGTTGCCCAAGCAGAGGGATGGAGCGGGCTCTCACAGAGGAAAATCATGCATAATTCGATGTATTCTGCACCTGAGGCTTGGCAGAGGCTGTTAGCTTAGGCTCAGTGCCAGGCAAACAAGGTTTTTCTGCCTCTCCGCCCACACTGAGCGGCCTGGCTCAGGTTTTGCAGCAGGACAGCCGTTGTGGATAGAGCTGGGCTGCAGGAGCCCACTCAGGTAGGTGTCTCTGGGCTCACAGCAGAGGCAACCTCCCAAGGAGATCATCCCCCACCGCTAACGGGGAGCTGGCTCAGTCGTTATCCCCTTTTGACAGACATGGGGGACTGAGATACTAATGATAATGGGACACCAGCAAGTTTGCCTGGGAAGACCCTGATATCCTTAACCACATTTTTAACAATGAGACCAACTTTTCAGGCCCCTTTCACTTCCTCTAGCTGGTTCTGTAACTCGTAGTCTGGCCATGTTTGAGTTGCAAACCCTGAAAAAGGATGGACCCGTGGAGGCAAGGCATGAGCTCCACTTCAGGTCTGGCCAAAAAAAAACCCACCAAGACCCATTTCACTGCTGTGGTATTCAGATTTATCAGATAAAAGGCAACTTAATTTTACAACAACTCTAATTAACAAAAAGCAATGTCTTAAACATATTGCTAAGTCAAACTGTGCCAAAACCAGGGCAGCAATCTCATAAAGAGCTCCACGTAATGGTCTTGTCCAGTGCAACCAAACTGGTTCCTGTTTGCACAAAAGTTTATCTCTGAGCTCAGCCTCACGTAGGGCGCCTGAGCCAGCAGTA